GTTATAACATATAATATATATTATGTTCTTTCATGTATGTTTTAATATAAATTGATATTATTATTTACCTATTCTTAAAATAAAGTTAATATCAGACGATTGCTTTTTCATGCATGCACCTGAAAACCTAAAATAATGAATAACGGGCTAAGTGGCAAATAAATAATTTTGAGTTATTTGATAAAAACATTGTAAAACATTAATCAAATAACTCAAAATTAATTTTTTGGACTACGGCCCTTATTTACTTCAAGTCATGAAAAGAGCAATCGTCTGATATTAGCTTTATTTTAGAAATAAATAATTTTATTGTGATTTATTATATCAATTTATATTAAAATAACAAATTGGCACTATTACCATTTATAAAGTTAATTTCACAGAAAAGGAGCATGTTATTATAGTAACAGTAATAAAACTGTGAATAAAATAAGTGGTTATTTTAAAGTTGGGTTAATAACAGTAAATAAATAGATACCTACTTGTCGTAACACGATATAATATTATAGTTAAATATAAGTTTTATTAATAAAATAATATATTGTAACAATAAATAAATCAGTTAATATAGCAAACATAATTTTTTAACAATAACCCTATTCATTTTTGTATTACGAAATTATACGGGAGAGCATAATGAGATGATATTTAAACAAATTATTTTACTATAAAAAGCTACTTTAGTAATGGTTAGTTTATGTAAGATTATATTCAGAAACGTATATTCCCATTATAACTTTCAATCGATAATACTTATTTTTTATAAAATTATATATAATTATAATATAATATATTTACAAAATTAGATTTATACGAGTATTAAAAATCTCATTTAGTAATAGTTACCAAATATAAATTTATAGTAACGATTTGTGCTTAACAAATCATTTTTTTCAGTGAAGAAGGCATTTGGTTCCATGTATCTTAAACAAGTATTTGGTTGTGTCAAACAAATTACCAATACTATAACCAAACTGTTTTCTTAATGTAACAGGCTCAGCAAGTTTAAATTGGGCAATGTCGCATTATTACTTAATATTTTTTTAGATCCCCTGTAATCGATTTGATTTTGGGTATTTTAATTGCTAAACTTTTTTAAATGACAAACAAAAATTAAACGGACTTTTGGCCGTTTCGTTTTAATTCGATAAAGATTACACTATGTAACATGATATTTGTTTATCTGGATTTTATTATAATCTTGATGTCATTTTATCCTTTGTTTTTATCAAGCTGTCAAATCTAAACTTGACAGCTATTAAATATTGTTTTGGTCTTTATGGCGAGTGTTTAATGTTTATTTTGGCTTTAAAATATACAGACGAATTTGCAAGCATCCATGAGATAGTTTTTGTTATGTTTGTGCATAAACCAAAAATCTATGTGTTTGTGCTCACTACATATAAAAAAAACAAGTAAAGTTTAAAATACTGCAGAATACAAAGCTTTGGGACGCCTATGAATGTTATTTTAGCATGACTTTCGCCAACTTAGACAAAAATTGGACACCAAATACATTTACAATTTGTGGCAGCTGTCGGTCAACTCTTGAGGCATGGTATAGAGGAGACATTCCAAAGCCACCAATCATGTCATGTATAAGATAAGAAGTCATCTGATCGAAAAAATATTTGTTATCTGGACTTACCAGTCTACCAGTTCACCAATTGAACATATACGCTTCCTGTTTCTTTCCTACCAGGCACTTTAATTTCCAAAGAATCAAAATTGGAAGAAATTAAATCGGAAATAGCCAGGACCAAGACTATATACCCGAAGGTGAGCCACATTTTGTAAGACAACAAAACTTAAACGATTTGGTAAGAGGTCTTACAAAAAAAAAGCTGAAATTCTTGGATCGCGGCTTAAAATGGAACCTTTTCAACAAGGGCTGTACAATGTACAGCCCTGTACAGTGTACATATACCTATCGTAAACGTAATTAAAATTATTCCGGTTTTTATTCTGTCAAAGATGATATTTGCTTTTGTGCTGACATCAATTTACTTTTCAACGAAATTGGAATAGTTCATGATACTAAGCAATGGCGTTTATTTATTGAGAGTTCTGTTTCCAGCTTAAAGGCGGTTCTCTTACACAATGGCATTGAATTACCTGAAGAAAGTCCTTACCTATGCATATTCTGTATACATCATCATCGGTATGAATGGGATGTGTGCGGGGACTTTAAAATGTTTTTTTGTGAATGTGGGACAGCCGTGCAGATAGTAAACACTATGTTAGACACATATGGCCCATTAGAGAAAATCATTTACCGGGAAAATACAATGTTATTCACGATCCTCTGGTTATCGAAGAGAAGATTTTACTTCCACGTTTACATATTAAATTAGGCTTATCCAAACAATTCGTGAAAGCTCTTGACACAAATTCACTTGTCTTTGGACAAATTAGATCGATGTTTTCTAGTCTGACCATAGCAAAACTAAAGGCAGGAATTTTTACTGGGCCACAAATAAAAAAATGCTTATGTCCGAAGACTGAAAATAAACTGGCTGAAAATGAAAAAAGGCTTAGAGAGCATTTCGCGCCATTACAAAGTGTTTTCTGAGAAATAAGAAAAGCCACAACTATGTGGGAGTTGTTGAAAAATTATTGGTAGCTTTCAAAAATATGGTATGTCCCATGTCAATCAAAATGCATTTCTTACATTCCCATCTAAATTTTTTTCGTGAAAACCTTGGAGACGTGAGCAAGGAACATGGGGAAAGGTTCCATCAAGATATTAGAGCAATGAAAAGGCGTTATCAAAGTAGATGGAATGAAAGAATGATGGGTGATTATCAGGCGCATGCTAGCCCACCGCGGTGCACCGGGCGACCGGGAATTTCCCGGTGGGCCCTCATAAATTGCCCATAAGGGGCCCCTCGACCCCGACGTGTGATAAATTTAAGTTAGCTGTTATTAGCAGGGACTTGTATAAAAATGAAACTCCGTTTCATGCGTTATCGTTCCTAGTAACATAAAAAGTTTAAAACAAAATTAGAAACGGAACGTTGAAAATTGTTCCCAGCAATTAATGTTCTGTTCAGAAAAGTTAATAAACTTAAGTTAACAAAACTAGCAAAATTCTAAGCAGAACCGAAACACCGAGTATGGAAACGAAACCAGCATAGCCATCTGAGTAACGAAATCGTACAGAAACTAAAATAGTAACGTTTCTCGTGTATTTATGAAAACTATTTCTGTTGATGAATAAATGAAGCAGAGCTATTATAAAAAACCTTTATAATTTTGTAAATATTAGTGTATTGTGCGACTCGTGGAAGAGAGAGGAGATTCCTCGAACGTTTTATTCAGTTACCGCAAGAAATATATTTTCTTTCCTGCGTCACATGGTCATCAGGTATATCTAATTGCGTGAGTTACCCGCGCCATTTACCCGCACGTCCCAATTGCGCGATTTACCCGCGCTACTTGATTTCCTTGTGCCACTTACTGGTGCGTCTTATAATAGTATATTCTCGAGTTTTATCCGCGCGACATACCTGCGGCTTTCTAGATTTAGTTACTCGTTTTGGTAATATTAAGTTTCGATTCAATTTAGTTTGAATCCTTACATAAAGAACGATAAACGGTATCGGATACCGTAACAGAAATGCAATACAAGTCCCTGGTTATTAGTGAGTAGTGACGGGCCTTCACTGAGAGCCCCAGCACACGACGTTACATTTGAATCATAAATACAACACCCATACCAGTTATCCAACCCTTTCTCTAAATGACATAAAATTTAAGGAGTGGGAGGGCCCTGTAAGGGAATTATTTCCCGGGCCCTAAAATCATCCCAGCAGGTGCCTGGTGATTATTTGTCGAATCTCATTCGAGGTGGATGTGGGAAATATAAAAGAAAAAGTCGTTCTACCACCCATTTTAAAGCCTAAATCTGTTGTTTTTTGTAACTACAATCTTTAGTTTTTTAATTTTCTTGCCAGATTTTTCATGTTCAATATATTTTTTGGCAAAAACGTGATTAATTTATTTATTTTTTATAAAAACTTTAACTGAAAGAGAAGTTTTCTGCAATTTTTTTTTCTAGAATCTTATTACTAAAAGTTTTATTTAAGTTAAAATAACTATTTGGCAGACGAATAATACAAATAGTACAAAAAAAAACAAAAATACACAACCCAGACAGCATCCAATTCAGAAAGATATCTGTACGAAGTCTGTTGAAATGATATCGACCCATGCAACGAAGACTATTGTAACTCAGTTTTGATTGTAGACTAGAGTAACTCAACTTAAAATTGTTTTTTCCTGTAGGAATGTGGATTATTACACTTACTATACATTTATATTACAATAAAGTTTTAATTTTATATTTTTTTAAACCAATTATATTAATAATTATAGTATTATAATATAAGTATAATTTTCACTTTATCTAAGTCTATAAATCGTGACTGATCTGACGCTATAAACTGAAATTACGCTGAACATTACAGAACTTTAAAAAACTTTAAAAATGTAATCCATTAACAATATTTTATCTACTCCTATTGCATTATATAAGTTTTTTTGTGAATAATGATAAACATTTTAAATTCCCTGCCTAACAACAGAAATAATGAACTCATTATTCACGTTGTTAGGCATCAGTGATTGAGCGATTTCAATATTCACGAATCGGGTTTTAAATCGGAAAAAGGCGACTATATATATAATATTAGATAAAGTATAGTATTACACTCCAGATTATACGCATTATTCACTCGGATAATTTAAGTCTCTCGTCTGGCGAGTCGATGCGCAAACCTCATCTTCGTAAATAATAGCATGCATTATCTATGGTATAATAATATACTATTAATGTTGATAAATAAAATATATCAAAATGACAGAAGTTATGAAAGGAAGTAAATATTGTAAAATAAAAACTAGCTATTGTGAACTGAAAAGTGTCAACGAAATTAACCATTATAAAATGATCTTGTCTTCTACGAAAAGTCTTAGTTTTAAATTTGGTCTTCGGGTAACGCACGTGTTATGTATTACATACCTACATAGGTAAATGTATGCTTTTTACTGTAGAAAATATTAACAAACTAATCCTGATTGTTTTTTTAAATATACTTTTCCTTTAGAAAAGGGGTAAGTAGTTTAAACCAATTTGCTAAGGTGTTACTGTGTTAAAGACGACTATTATATTAAATTCTTACATACACTAATAATATATACCTAATAATCATATAAGTACCTACAGACTATAAATACATACAATTTTTTTAGTTCTAATAAGATTATATCCTGAAATGGCTTCTTTGCACGGTAAAGCACGTGGATTTTTCAGTCAGTCGCTCCAAAGTGAACACTAAAATGCTTTTTGTGAGAAATTTAATGTTTTTTATAGTTTTAAGTTTTGCCGATAGCAAAGTTTTAGATTTGTATAAAATATGTAATCAACATTACGCGAAAAGGGTTTATCTCGAGTATGGGGAATATGGGACTTTAACTGCCAAAATGGAACCAACAGATTTTCAAAATAAGGTCCACAGTGCTTATGGATCGCATAGAAAATGCAGCGTGGAGTTTATTACCTGTCCATCGTGTGTAATTCGTATTAAATTTATGTAAGTAAATTGTAGGTATAAACTTACATAGACAGCACAATTGTTTAAACTGTTGATTTAATATAACATTTTTTTACAAAAATATTCTTCTTTTAAATACATAAAATAATGGTCAATAAATCTATTTAATAGATCTTCACTTTAATTAATTTAAAATGCAAATTATTTAAACACGAGAAATTGAACATTTGACGTCAATACGGTAGGTACACATAGAAGTAGAACTTAAGTCTATTACGGTACCTTGAAGGTACAAATTTCTGGGCAGATGCACTGTTAAGCAAAAATGCAAAATATTGCAGGTAAGGCATTTTCGCTTAACAGGTCATTTCAAGGTACCGTTTACCAAATTCTGGTTCATTTTTTTTAGGAAATAAATATTTAAATAATTTTGTTTGTTATTTAGCGAGAAAAAACTATTTTAAGTGTTTTGGGAGCTACAGAGGCGACCGAAGGCATGGATAATATCCATGGATATAGAGCTCGGAGTTGTAGTAGTGCACGAATCACTAAATTTAAAGTTTATTTGGTCATATTAGGGTCAATCCCTCCACATTTGATATTGAATGACTTATTTTAGTGAATTAATTTCCTTTACTAGATATCTCAACATATCTCGATCTTGCGGTAAAGCAACTGTTTATGACAGCTGCGGCTGCGATTACGTCTGGATTTACGAACCGCCTTTTGAAGAGGTGTCCGGCGAACAGTTCTGCGGCACGTTCGTCGAAAATACCACCAGCGCTTTAAACTACATCAGCCAAACAAAAAGCGTCGCCGTCACTTTTGTACACAGCAACCAGATTGGACACGCATTTACGCTCGATTTTGTATCCGAAAGTAAAATACAAACAAATCTGCGATTTGTTAAATTATTAGAATGCCTTTGTAGGAAATAGAATTATCTATGATGGTCATCCGAAATTTTCCAACATGAATAACGTCACTCAGATCATAAACTCGCCCTTTTTTCCGTATTTTTATCCGAGCGATATGAGTGTGGAGTACGTGATAAGTTGTGTTTCAAGCGATTTGTGCAGAATAAGCTTGGTTTTTAGCGACTTTCAATTGGCTAGAGGATCAATTATTGAGGTATTTCCTACACGGAGAGAAATGTATAGTAAATTTTAGATAGTTAAAAAAATATATTAAAATTTACTTTAAAAAATGTTTAGTTTAACAATATTAAATATTCGTCAGTAAAATATAAAGATTGTAATACGAAATAGTATTTTTTATTATACAATTTTAGTTAAGATTACAACACCAATATTATTAGATCAAAAATGTATAATACGTATTTTAATTTTGAATATATTCGTATAGTAAATTGATTTTACTATCTACAAATAGTAATATTTACTATATGATTTAATAAAATGTATTATACAAAATAATAAAATACACTATTTAGCTTCTTATGGGTTACGTATCTATTATATTTATTTTTAAAATTTACTATCTAATTATAATAAGAATTAAAAACAAAATTGGTTGAGAATAATAACCTTAAGGTTTAATATACATGGATATTTAAAAATTACTAAATATGCATAGTAACTTGCAATATACAAGATAGTTGTCCCAAATAGTAATATATAATATAGTAAAGGGTATTATAATTATGGTAATCAGTAATATACTTTTCTCTCCGTGTAACCATTATATCGACGCAAATAAGAACATCGTATTTTTTGACAAAAAATCTATTATATACAGTGTTTCCCCGGATAGGTAAAAAGACTCTTGTTTATAATTAAAATTTTAAAATTCTTGTCCAATTTTTATTTTTATTTTTTTTTGTGTAAGTAAAGTGCCTTTCATATGGGATATACTACAAAATATTATAGAGAAATGTTGTTTAGAATTATATTTTAGGTCCATCCCAGATAACACAATACATGCCAGAAACATACAATTTATGTACTATTTATGCCCCAATGTTTCGGACTTAAATCGTATATCCCTGCGATGTTTCCTCAGTAACATTTCTGGTGTGATTTCCCCAAGATGTTGCATAAACATTTTAAATAGCTGATATTGGTACAAATATAAAATAAATTTATATCAAAACATATGAGGCGCCGTTTGTGTCATTAATAAATGCTAAAATATATATAATATTTACTGATATATATTTATTTTTATTAAATATATATATATTTTTTGCAAATATATATTTTTTTGTTGAAAATAAATATATATATATATATATATATTTACTTTTTACCTAAACAAAAATATATATATTAAAAAAAATATATATATATATATTAAAAAATAAATATATATTTTTTAGTGAACTTACATATTTATATAAAAACTGAGCTTATGCGAACAGTCGCTTGGTAGCGTTCACTTCGCAAACGCAACGCTGCAACAGCTGACCCAAAAATAGTGGTGCAGGGTTATGTTATAAAACTAGATAAAAAAGGGTTATGAACAAGAAATTGCCGGTAGGTAATTGTGTTTGATTTGAAGTAAATATTTTATGTAGTGCACATATCTCTAAATATGTGATCCAGTGTCTACATAATAATAATAATAATTTATTTGCAGTAACTTTAAAAATATACATCAATGATTTACAATAAAACACAATTACACATTTCTGCAAAAAGGACTGAAAGGCATTAATTACTGATACAAGTTTTAGCCCAGAAACAACTATAAATAATTTACAAAATAGACATTTAAACAATTGGCATTATCCTAAATAAAATAAATAATACGCCCGCAACAGGCTTTTTGCGAGCCAAAAATAGCTAACCAATAAATTTAAGACAACATCTAGATATAAATAACACTAAAAATGAACAAGCCTAAACCATGGTTATGCATAACTAATCTAAAGAAATCTAGTATTTATATTTAAATACAAACTTAATAAGAATCCTAGACCAATAACAATAACAATGTCGGAAGAAAGAAAGCGCCAAATGTAATGTTTTGTCACGCGTCAGCTGTTGCAGCGTGAACGCCACCAAGCGACTGTTTTCATAAGCTCAGTTTTTATATAAATTTGTAACTTTACTAAAAAATATATATATATTTTTTTAAATATATATTTATTTAAAAAAAAATATATATACAATATAAATTTGCAAAAAATATATATATATATATATATATATATATATATTTAATAAAAATAAATATATATCAGTAAATATTATATATATTTTAGCATTTATTAATGACACAAACGGCGCCTCATAAAAACACATAACACACTATTAAAAAAATAACCAATCAATTTTTAGCAAAACACCAAATTATTATACTTTGTAATTTTTAAATTGAACGCGAACAATGACGTCATACTAGTTACTTTTTAAGTGATTGTTACCTGGGGAATTTTGTTTTGTTTTGTAACCAACTTGTTACAAATATTAAATAAATTTATATTAAAACACATACACTTTATTAAAAAAAATAACCTATCAATTTAGCAAAAACGCCAAGATGTTGCATAAACCTTTTAAATAGCTGATATTGGTACAAATATAAAATAAATTTATATCAAAACACATAACACACTCTATTAAAAAAATAACCAATCAATTTTTAGCAAAACACCAAATTATTATACTTTGTAATTTTTAAATTGACCGCGAAAAATGACCTCGTACTAGTTACTTTTTAAGTGATTTTTACCTGGGGAATTTTGTTTTGTTTTGTAACCAACTTGTTACAAATATTAAATAAATTTATATCAAAACTATATACCTATAGATATATGATCAAAACACATAACACACTTTATTAAAAAAAAATAACCTATCAATTTAGCAAAACCACCAAATTCTTATAATATCAATAACTTTGTAATTTTTAAATTGACCGCGAACAATGTCGTCATACTAGATATTTTTTAATTGATTGTTACCTGGGGAATTTTGTTTTGTAACCAACGGCATCTCTGTAGGTTCGCGGCTTTTATTGCCAAGAATGACATTTCGTGAAAATCGAGAACGTTCTGTGTCGAGAATTTTCTTCTCGTTTTATAATGTGATCACAGTAATTTAAGACTTAAATTAAATTTTAAGTTGTACACTTTAAGTTATTGTTTTGTGTGGGTGGCCTGAGGCGTCTTTTTTGGTAAGTAAATTATGATGATTTGGTAAGAAAACATTATAAATATTATTATAATTAAATTCTATATTAGTTTCTTTTTTAAGGTTTTATTTTTTGTGGGTATTGGTGGCAATAACCTGTATGATTTTATTTCAGACCAGGTCGCACAACAGTTTTCCTTTATTGGGAAAAAGGGCAAAAAAGATTTTAGCCAATCCAAGATTTCTAAAGCTGTTTTAGATAATAACTCGTCGAATCCGCAAAACCTCGTATGAAAAAAACTGTAGTTTTACAGGAGACGAAAAAAACATTAAAAGCTCTCATATCTGGCTTTTTTTAAATATACCTATAGAACAAATTAATTTGTTTTTAAGGGTCTTGAGATTATCTTGGGAGATAAGAGGTTTTACAATCATGTGCATTATTATATCGACCCATGCAACGAAGACTATAGTAACTCAAAAAACGTGGGTTTTGACTTACTATATGGCATCAACAGATTTTTTCAAGCTCTATTTGGTGGAAGATTACAGTAACTCAGACATGAAACGATAGGCAACCAGTGAACAACTTCCCTGTATAGTAAGTGTAATAATCCACATTCCTACAGGCGAAAACTAAGTTGAGTTACTCTAGTCTACAATCAAAACTGAGTTACAATAGTCTTCGTTGTATGGGTAGATATGAGGTAAGTACTTAATTATGCAAAAAAAATCGATTTTGTCAAAAATGTCTCAAACGAGTTTTTGCGGATTCATCGATGAAGAGTTTTGTAAATTTTTATCTATTTATTTTTATTTATGCGTATTTTCAGTTATGTTAATGGTTTTATGTTAATTAAATGATAAAAGTATTTAATGTTTTTTATTTAAGGAAAAAACCTATAAAAATTTCATAAATGTTTTGTATGAAACATTTCTCTTATGTTCTGAAAGTAAATATAAAATGTCTTAAAGACATACCTACAACATTCTAAGATGATCTCAAAACATCCCAAAAGGATGGCCGAGGGACGTTAAAAAGGGCGACATGGTCATTGCCAGAAACATTTCTGGTATATCTGTGGGAAAATAGGGTCATTCCTGGGATGTTTCTATTGTCGCATGCATATGTTTCTGGCATGTTTCTAGTATACTTGTATACTTGTGTTATTAGGGATATACCAAATTTCAAATTTCTTGGCCACTTTGATTTTCATTTTTTTAGGTACAATAAACCTAATTATTAATAGTGCAAAAAATTTAAAAAAAAAGTTGCTTACTTTTTGTAGGTATTTCCCAAATACAACAATTTAATTTCTAATCAAGACAGTCATGAAAAAAAAAATAATATTATTGTCAAAACTGACATCCAAGGTGGTTTTATTAAGCTTAAACTGTTTATTAAGCATTATGTTGACGATAGAAGAAAAAGTTTATATGATTAAATACGGTTTTATCTTTATTTTTGAAAAAATATCCAAATACTGCAATCAACAAAAGTAATGATTTGCAATTATTCAAGGTATTTCTTTCAACAGGAAGCGTCAACTACAAACAAAAAATTGAAAAAGCATATTATGAAAACGATGCAGGTACTTTGTTGGCTTTAAATTCGATTAATGCAGATCCCAAAACGTCGAGAAATCGAAGTGATTCTATAAATATCAGTAAATCCCATTTACAAAGGATTTATAAGGCAAACGCAATTCATCCTTACAAAGCCAAATTTTGCCACACTTTGGAGAAAGCTGATGAAACAGGGTGATTGAGTTTCTGTCTGTCTTTGGGAGAGTTAATTTTAGAAAACAGAAATTTTACAAAATTAATTTTTTTTGTTGATAGTACATTTACCACTCACAATCGCGTTCCATCTTCACAAAAGAAAATCCTCACTACTCTCTTAAAATTAGTTAAAAATGACTAATAAACATCAATTTGTATCTCGGATATTATTTATATGTAAAATTGTCCTCTGAATCTAAAAATGTTGTCAAAAATTATAAAAGTAGAACAGTTTTTAAGAGATAAATATCT